GGTGTCTCTATTCTGCATGGAAATAGAGGTGTCTACCATGACGATAAGCAGCCTACATTCAAGGCACTCTATGAAGTGATACGTGATGTAAGTCTTGTATTTTGATAGAGGATGTCCTTTTATTTCAGTGCAGATTGTAGCTTTAGCCAAGTCACTCAGATTGTCACTACAGCAGTTGGAGCTGAGCATACCCATCAGTCACAAGTTGACAAAGGCGCTGTGGTCTGTCCTGTTTCACAGCCCTTCATGTTATGGTACACGTGTAATCAGAAAGTCTGTTAAATTGCTTTTCTGTAGTACTGGATGGAGAAGTAACTGGATGGAGTTCTTTCTGCTGGCACGGTGTCCCTGGTTCATAAATGCCCAATAAAATCTTGTACTCCCCAAGCAGCTGGAGCCTCTGTGCACATAGAAGGCAGAGAATTGTTTCAGTAGCTTGCATACAGACACAGGTCCATATTTCCTCTTTGAGAGGAAGCTGTAGGCTTCCCGGTCCATATGCAAAGTAAGAGACTGTCACCAGCTAATGTGGTGAAACATAACCTGCATGTGGGTGGATATGTGAATTTGTGCTCAAGTTCCAGAATTCTTCCTTCTTTTAAAACACTGAAGTATTCCCCCACTGTTGTCCTTACCAAAAGAAGAGCTGGACTAAAAACTAATAACTATTTTTCTCTATTTTTCTTTAGTTTCCATTTGAAGACAATCTCTTCCAGTCTTTGTACTATCCTCTTCAGTCTAAGTTCCTGGATACAGTGCACACTTTATGTGGGAGAATTCCACAAGTATTTTTGAAGCAAATTGAGAAAACTATGAAGAAGGTGTATGAAAATCGTGTCATTGTCTACCTGGGGGCCAACCACAGATACTAAATGTAGTTGTATTTTTACGTGAAACTTGCACCTAGGTGGCTTGTGCCTGAATGTCTTAAGGCATTTAAATGAAGGATGTCACTCTTTGTCTTAAACTCAGACAAAAAAAATCCTTTTTCAATTTCCTGGTAGCTCTCTGAAATTATAAAGTCTGAAGAAGTCCTGGAGATCCACCTAAACAGTCCTTTCGTTCTTTTCCTGGTTGTTTGTCTTTTTTTTTTTTTCTTCTTTTTGGTTGCAACAGGAAGAGTTGATGATTCTCACTTTGTTTATGAGTTTACTTTATTTGTTTAAGAGCAGCAATATTCACTATAACTTCTTTTTTTTTTTTTTTTCAAGTTATACAAAAGTTCGTTCTGAACTTAAGCTCAGCAAAGAAGTGGCATTTCAAGCTACTATGTATGGAATGTAGCTTCAAATGACATGGCAAGCATCTTTTTCCAACTGCAAGAGGTGTGGAAGTGTTGGTGACACATCCGTAAGAGTGATGTGTGAAAGACACAACATGGCACACTGCATTGCTGCAGAATCATCTGAGTCAAGAAGGTGTTAAGATAGGGAGCCTTGTGTCTTAGCAGCTGCAGTGCAGGCCTGTGCTGGTCCTAAACAGCACAGAACAAACAATCAGTCTGCTCTCACCTCTGTGCTGCAAATTCCAATCAACAGTTTGTGCATGTTCTGTGACTCAGAGATGTTATCTTAAAGGCTTTGCCACATCAGTGCAAACGGACTCGTAAAGGACAGAGGCACCTCTGACTTATTTTGATGGAAAGCCCAGAGTTTCATAATGGGAACTAGAGACATTTAAACTGAAGTGTAGATGTTACCCTCTCCCACAGCTTGTCTTATTTACTATTTCAATTGAAGATTTAGTTGTAGCTTAAAAAAGAAAGCGTTTCTGGATACAGTGGAGTTTGAAAATGTAACCCAAACTAAGCTTCAAAAACCAGGAGGCGATGAAGGGGAAACTCTGTGTGCTGTTTTGAGAAGTTTAAGATAATGTAAGTCTGTGATAAGAGGTAAGCCTTTGAAGTTGGCAGTAAGGAGAACATAAAGAAGTCTTTGTTTTTTGTTTTTTTTTTTTAATTTTATTTTCAAATACCAGAGTAAAGCTGACTTTAGGTCGAATGAGGATAGATGAGACGCATGCTGGCCATTCTGAATCCCTCATTTCCATGGTGTCTGTAAGCCAGAGAAAGTTGCAGAGCAAAAGCCTTGTTGCCCAGGCAGTTTAGCTCTGGTGCTAAGTCTCGGGAGTTTAGAAAGCTGTGACTGTGTAACTATGATTCAGCAGAACCCTCTGGCTGTGGGCACGTTAAAATGAAGGAATGGAATTCATTACAAAACAAAGGCATTATTACATATAAAACGTTTAGGGATCAAAGCAGTGCTTTTTATGTTTACAGGAGGTGCTACATTATTTTCAGAAAGAGCTATTAAAATATATGAAGTATATGCTTTAACATGAAGACTCCTGTTAGTATAATAACCACTTGCCAGAAGAATGGGAGAATTCTTCCTGCTGTGCTTTTTCTGGGGGGGGCAGGGGAAGCTGTAATTTGAGCTCTCCAAAATGTATTAAAACAATTAACTTTGATTTTTGTTGTTGTTGGAATTATTAATTTATATTCCATTACAGCTTCCTAAACCATATTGTATTTGATTTTAACAGTAGTTGGCTCTAACATTAATCTTATTTAGAAACCAGTTTTCATTTATTTCCTATTTTGTACTTGTGGTTAATTCATGTAAATTAGCCATCCATTATTTCAGTAATGGAATGTGTAAATACTTAGATGGGCCTTACCCTCTTTTCCCCTTCCTTTCATATTTTACTTATTTCCAGTGGTGTGTCACACTGAGGAGCGTCATTGTAATGTAGAAAGGAAAACCAACATTTTTTTCTGGAAATTCGTAGAAACTCCAACAATCCTGAATGTGTTGCTAACAACAAATCTCCTTTCACAGTGACAAAGAAACAACAGGGTGCAGCCCAAAGAACTGCGTCCTGGTTGTGTGAAAGCAAGCCCCAACCCAGCAGCTGTTTGATGCTCTGAATTCTGTCTCTAGTTGGTAGGCCTTATATGCAGTGCATAAAGTTAAGCATGTAACCAAGACCTTGCTGTATCAGCGTCAAATATTCAGGTTTTCGATTTGCTATGTTATACTTGAACTTGCTGAAGGTAGATAAGTAGGGGCTTTACATGAAGAGCTGCTGAGCACCTCCTTTTAGCCCAAAGCCATTTAAGAAAGCATCAGGTTACAAATGCGTGTTGTACAACAGAGAACTGCCAGAGTAGGAAGCACTTGGGTGTGTTTCTAAAAGGTGAGAGTTTTTCTAGGTTCTTTGCCTGTATATTATAAAGTGGGCTTAGATAGCTTTGCTATCATTTCTTTTTCTTACAAGTGGAAACTGGAAACTGCTCTGTGAGTGTATGCATGTGTACACCTATGCAATGCGGGTGTACGTGTAAGGAACTATGTAGCTTTCTTGTATCATTTAATTCCTGTGTATTTTTATTTGACAAGTGCACCAATTGTTTATAGCTCCCAAGGAGGCATAGCAGTGCATTTCTGTGTTAAGATCCTCTGCTTAAAGTACAAATAAATGACATTTTAAGCAAGCTCTGTATTTTGTGCTGGTTTTTTGGTTTTTTTTTAAGATTGTGTGTGTGTACTGGGACTTGAGTTAGATTAGTAGAAGCTATGTTAACTTTCCAGTGTAGTATCTTTTCTATGCCCTTTTTGAAGAGTCTAGTTACTTTATGTACTCTACTATATATGTCACCAGAATTCTGAAGTCTGTTTTTAAATTTGCTCTCAATACTGTGTTACCCTTTGTTATGTTTTGACCTTTTCCTGTTAAAAGATGTGCAGAGGTAGAGCTGCAGGGAAATGTATTCTTTTAACCTGTTGTTGCATTTAAAATGCTTGTCTTGTCACCTTGCTGTACTGCATCCTGCAGTGGTACTTATGGCCTTTCTTGAATCTCTTCTGTAGTACTTATGGGATTTGTCATTTAGCATCATTTGCCTTCTTTCCCTCCTGCTCCCCTTTTTTTTTTTGGTACTCATGTATGGTCATTGCTGCAGCATCCTTGGTTTTGCTACAATGCCTCTGTGTGATAGAAGTTCGTGAGCTGTCACTTCAGTCAGGCCAGTAGTCTGCCTGGTTATGAAATTGTTTTCTCATTTGCTCAAATTACTCAACTGTGTGGTATGTTGGGCTCAGTCACATTCTCTTTGAAGTCGAGACTAAAACTCCAATTGAAATTCATGAGGAAAAGGTAAGGCCAGCTGTAAATCAATACAGTGTTTCTTCATTTCAGGTATGAGGAGTGTATGACTGTGTTGTGTTCCATTAAATGCTCTGTAATGCCTTGTCTGTGCTGTTCTGATCCAAGATGTTTCTAGCAACCATGGCTTTAGTCAGGACTGAAATATGTGGGGAGAACATGCACAGATTTCCATAGTACAGGATGGGCAGAAGCAAGATGGATGCAATAGCAAACAGGACAAGCATTTCTCTGCCCTTTGTGATTCAGAGGATGGAACCTAAACTGTGATTTCCCACATCCTCATTGCCGTACAGCTGGGTCCTTTGTGTCAGTATGAATCTCACTGGTTACAGCTGCCCTATGCGGAACAAATAAACCCTGAGTTCCTCAAAGCAAGGCCTTGGTGCTCAGTTACCACGGCGAGGATCTGGGTACTGGGAGAGTTTCTTCTGCTGTGCTCTCACTGCTGTATGTGCTTTGGCAACCATGACTGACTCTAAGAGACATCCTTGTCACACCTAAGTGGACTGTGGAGCATTAATGGAGCTCAGAACAGGTTTCATATGCCTCTTCGTAAGTATGATCATAGTAGAGGTGACTTCTCTGCCTGCCTGGGACATCTGTAGCTGAGAATAAAACACCACTACCTGGAGAGGGGGAAAAAAACTAGGACTTTTCTAGTAGGATGAATCTTGCACATTACCAGCTTTAACAGAAACCATTGATAGTTTCACTTCTTATAATTCCCTTCCAAATGCTTCAAGAGAGTCTTCTCCTGAGGATCAGCTGCCTGTAACCATAAGGAAGCCAGCTCTCAGAATGTTTTGCACCTTTGCATCAGATAGAGTCCAATATTATGCTGGGAAACAGACACTATGTACCCAGCCATAAATGAGACAGCACAGATGCATTGGGAGTGTTCCAACAGCGGGTTCCTGTATCTACCCTGGGATCCATACAGACTGCAGCCTCCCGAAGAGCTATAGTTGATATGAGATAAAGAATTGTTTGTGCTTCAAAAGAAATGGCAGCGTTTGGAAATTTTGCTTTTGTTCTGGATCAGAATGAGAAACAAACTGTCAACACCTCCTTTGAAGTGAAAATGAAAATTGAGACAAAACATCAACATGAGAATCAGCACTTAAGATGAACAAAACATGTTCATTTTGTAAGGTAAAATATTTGGTTTGACTTACACAGCTCTATAAATATACCAAAAATACTTGTTATTTTCTAAAAATTACAGTACAGTCCAAAAATGTTTAACTGATTTAGAGCTAAATACTTTGATCGCACTGACATGATGCTGTTTCAAGAAAAGTGCCATAGACTGACCTGCTCCTGCAGAAATGTATTTCCATGATAGGGATGCTGTTCCTCAATCTTTCTGACACGGGTTAATTAACCTGCTGTGCTGATTAGGATCATGCAAAGGAGCTGCCTGCCTTCTCAGGACACACCTCTCAAAGATCTCCTTCCTGTTCTGCTCAGTGCCTCTAAAGGACAGGTTGTTTTGAATACCAGATTCCTCACAACTTAGGCTCCAGGTGAAAAAACAAGTCTGCTATTAATTTGAATGATCTTCTCGTTTGTTGAGTGTTGTAAAGGAAGCTTTCTATCTATGTACTGGGAGGGAGGTATGAGAAAGTCAGCTTGGAATAAGTGCTGAACCTGTCACTGAGTTGCTGTGGGCTCTCATAGCTCTAGAAAACGTGTGAGAACTTAATGTGTGGTATTTTGGGGGCTGGTGGTTAATTTAGCTAAAGCCTACAATATTTATAAAGTATAATCATATCTGTATATTTCAGTCTTTGTACATTCAAAGTAAAACTCCATCCTCCACAGCTCCTTTTTTTGTTTGTTTTCAGCTTCTTCTAGATGTTATGCACCGTGATTGAACTGGGTTTGCCTTCTGGTACTCCCCAGCCTTCCAGATCTGTTAAAAGTCATTTCCTTGGAGGAGGAGGGACTTGAAGTGGCAATGAGGTACTTTAAATGGAAAAAATATCTCTATTTTGTATGGTTCAGAAATGCACAATTTTTTTAGTGTCATTTTATTGTACCACGCTTGAGTTCCTGCAGCTATTGACTTGAAAACAACAGAAAACACCCAAACCCTGACCTCTCCTGTAAATCCATTGGTGTATGTTGAAGCATAATATTTTCAGAAGATTGAAGTCTTGAAGCTTTGCCTTGAGCATAAGGAAATGAGAACAAACCTGTTTTGCTCGTATTCTGCTGCATTGCATATGCTTGATGTTGTATTCAATTGCTACAGATTTTTTCAAAGCATGCTAATCAATTTTTGTTCAAACCCAGTGAAAATACCTTACAAATTGCTGTCTCACATCAGTGAATGAAATTACTTTAAGGCTCAGGTTAGGTCAGGGCTCTCTCAATACCTAATCTAAACTTCATTACTGAAATCTGCTGGTCATACACCTTGCATTGCTGTCTTTAGCATCAGGGTATTGATCTGTGCCCAGGGGTTTGGTAGTGTAATTCAGTGCAAATTTTATTTAGTGCTTTAGTCCTAAAGCTCAAAAATCAGTTGGTGGGTGGTTGTTGTTGTGAAGACCTTCCAGGGCAGTGCAGTAAACCAGCACAGCTGAGTCGTGACTGCTGCTGAGTGCAGAAATCCTTCATTCCTCCTCTTCTCCACATCCTGCTGCTGCTTCCCCTGCCCAGCATGAGAGTGGCTGGTAGTGGTGAGAGCTAACCCCATAAAAGGAATCATTTTCTACTGGATTGATGCAAAGGAAGGAATGGGACATACAGGAAGACAGACCATTTTTGAGTAGTGCAAATTAATCTCTTGCAGATCCATCAGAACTGGCTATATTAAAGTTTCTGCTTTTTTTTTTTGTCTGCAGAGTGTGATGTGATTGGGTTGCTCTCACTTGGTCTCTTGTTTGTTCTAATTTCTGCTGATACTGCAGGAAGAGGAGAATGTAGAAGTCCATTATGCTGTATAAATTGTATGTTACATCTTCCTTCAGTGCTGATGAAAATGAATGCAATTCTTATCAAATCAGTGCTTGACCTGAACTTCTCAAGTAAGAGATCAAGTGGAAAAAGAATTGTCCAATTGTATCAGGCAGAAGTGGATTCATCTTGTTAACATATTGGACCCCATCCTGCTCTCTCTGAAAACTCACAAAAACTGCTTGCAGAACTTTAAAAGAAATCCAGAATGCAAATCTAAAATCTTTATGTAAATTTAATGCAAGGAGAGAAAAACAGGCATTGGAAAACGGTTTCTCATGCTTTCGTTACGTGTTTAAAAATGCCTCTTTTTCTTTCCTGATGATGAGTTTTTTCATTATAGTTCCACAGTAAATACTCCCTAAGTAGCATGGGGATTTAAACAAAATGATTTGTGTATGCTTCTATTACTAGGTGTGCCAAATAGCTTCCAAAGAAGAGTAATTATCATTTGTTTTATTAATAAAGACACTCAGGTGTGATTGCCCAACTCATTTGCTTGAGATTGCACAAAGTATCAATGATGAAACTTCACACAAGCTTTTTGTATTCTAGGATTGTATTTAAATGTTTATCCCCTGAAAATAGAAGAGAACGACAAATTGCTGTGAATGGAAATATATTTTTTCAGTTTGCTGAGGGGATGTGGGTTTTGAAACATGCGGGGCTGCTCTACTCTCAGCTTCATCCTAAAATGCATTCTGAGAACAAAACAAAAAATAGTCTATTTCCATGAAAATACTTTTCCTATAGAAAACAAAGCTTTTGGAGTATATACTTTGAAATTATTTTCTTTTTGTAGTAGACGGAGGAGGAGAGATAGGGCTGAAAAAGATTGGGAGTGTGGATTTACTGTTTTATATGAGCTGGGCAATGACACCTCGAAAAAATGAAAGATTGCTGTCTCCTTGAAATACTTTTTTGTGTAAAGGGAACCCTTGTACAGATTTTTCTAAACATTCTTTATTAGTTAGTATGAAAAAGAGGACTTAAAAAAAGTGGATATTTTCTGCCTTGGCAGTGTATGCAAGGATCTGAAGATGTAATGAACTGTAAAATTGAAACTTTAATGTATGTTTATGCCTCTCTAGGCTCATTTTGGCTGGTGGGATGGAGAGAATGAGACCACCTCCAGAAACTACTGCAAAGAGCAGGTTGTGCAGTGGAGGTGAGACTGTGGTGCCTGGGGGAAAATACTGCTGGGGCATGGAAGTGAGGTCAGAGAAACTGTGTTCTAGGAAAGGTACGTTCTCCACTCCTCTGCTGTGCTTAAGGTTGCAAAGGAAGGCTATTAGTTTTGTTGGTTTAATTGGACTTTGGTACCTTCTTAAAAATAATGAAGTTAACCTCAAGGAAGAGAACATAGGGCAGCCTGTAACCTGAATTGTATTGTCCTGTTCTGTTGTTGGTGTGTAAGCACTGCTGTTCTCAGCCCAGTACACAGCTTTTGTGCGTTGAAGAGACTTATCACTTGTTCACCCCGTGGAGAATTGACTGATGTTTAGAGGGACAACGTTCTTACTACTCTAGGGAGTGTATTGCTGTCTGCCTCATTTCAGCTGGTGGGTTTCTGATGCTAGAAAGGCGAGTGTGCAGCAGGGAGGCATGGCAGGGCTGAGCGGGCACAGGAGCCAGGGGGAAATTGGGCTGGCTGTCATTGTTGCCTCTGCAGGGAGACACTGCACAGTATTTGTCTTCTCCCTAGTACTGCCATTGCTGATTCTTCCATCACATCTCTGTGATGAGCAAAGTGACCAGAAGAAAACTGGCAGCTGAATTCATTAATGGTTGTAATGCCAGCTCCTGCTGTTGGTTTTTTTTCTAGGAGTTCAGACCTGTCTCTGTCCCTTTAGTTATTTGCTTACTGATGCTGCCTGGTAAGTAGAAGTGCCAGAACCTCGTGCTGGGACTTCTCACGGAATTGTGTCCAGCAGGAAACACCATTCACCGTCGTGTGAAAGGCGACAGTTGGTCCGTGGCACCAACAGGCAGTTCTCTCGCTCAGCTCTCCAACGCAGCACTTTAGGAAGCACCCCGTTTCGGCACGTTTGTCAGAGTTCCCCACGTACGAAATTTGCCGCAGCTTTCCCTCCTGTTCGCGCGGGTCCCGGCATCGAGAACCCAGTGCCGCCCGGCCTGAGGCGAAGTGCGGACCGCCCCTTCCCGCCCCTTCCCGCCTCCCTCAGGGCCCGCGCGGCCCCGCCTCCCGCGCGCCACCCCCCCCCGGCGGGAAGGAGGGCGGGCCGTCGGGGCCGCGCACGGGGACGGCCCGGGCGCCATGTTGGAAGGTTGCTGAGCCCGGGCTGTGTCTGTGCGAGCGGCGCCGGGAGCCCGTTTGCTGCGCGGGGTGGGGGGGGCCGGCGGAGGGGAGCGGCGCGAAGGGCGGCGGGGGGACGCGGGCGCGGATCATGGACGTCGAGAGGCTGCAGGAGGCGCTGAAAGGTGGTGCGGGGCGAGCGGCGGGGGGCGGGGAGGGGTGTCCCCGCGCTGAGGGGAGGTGTGGGGCCGCCAGGCGCGGGGCCGGGGGTGAGCGCGCCTCCTTCGTGTGGGGGCGCGGGGTCCCGTGGGTGGCGGCGGCCGGGGGTTCGCTGTAGGGACGGGGAGGGCCGAGCCTGGGCCCGCAGCCCCCGGGCTGCCCTCGGCCGGCGCTCCTCCCGGCGCTCCCTCGCCCTTCTCCGCCTCGGCTCGCCCCGTCCCGGCCGCTGCAGGTTGGCCCGTCCCGGCCCCGAGCTGGGAAGCGGCCCCGGCCGCCGCTCCTCAGAAGTCGCGCACCAACTTTTGCCGCCCAGGTGCGCGCGTTTCTCCACGGGAAAATATCTTGGCGATTCCTAGGGCTGGAAAGTTGGAGGAGCTGTTAGGATCAGCTGAGGCGTTGTTGGAGCGGGCAGATGTTTCTGAGGGAGTCGTGCTGATAGTTCAAAAACGCTGGTTACGATTTTTAATACATTTTTTTTTGTCTCTTTTCTGTTTCCGTTCTTCTTGTGCCGTCCTCATGCCGACAGATTTTGAGAAGAGGGGGAAGAAGGAGGTGTGCCCGATCCTAGACCAGTTCCTCTGCCATGTTGCCAAGACAGGGGAGACCATGTAAGTGGGGCCGGCTGCGGCCCGGGGCGCTTTGGAGCTCTGTCGGTCGTTGGCTGCTGTCCTGGGCTGAGCGAGCTCTCCTCGGTGTGCGCTGACTCCGGGTGGATTTGTTCTCTTTGCTGGTAGAGAGTTTTATCAGATAAGGAGCCTCTTCTCACACAGTGTCAGAGGTGTCTCCCAGACGATACCGACCCTGCCCAGCACAGGAAACCTGTTGCTCTTTCTACAGTTTAGGTGACGTTTATTTTATTTCTTTTAATGGAAAGTTTTGCTCAGTGTTGCCTGTGGCAAACCTCTGTAATACCCGCAGCTCGTACCGACGCTGCACACGACGGCGCCGGGTTGTGCCTCAGGCAGGCCTTGCGCCCCGGAGGGCGCCTCGCAGGGACAGCCCAGGCCCAGCTTCGCCGCCCGCGGCTCCGGGTGACCCCGCTGCAGGGCCGGGCCGGGCTGCGCGGGGTGACTTCCGCTGTGCTCTGTATTTGGCAGGAAGCGGGAAGGCTTGTCTGCGCGCGCGCGCCTGCGTGTGGCTCACTTTGTGGCAGCCGGGCTCCTTGTTTGCGAGGCCTAGTGCCGGGCTGCGGCGTGCCCTGCCGGCGCCGCGCTTTGTTCTGGCTCCCAGCTTCCCCGACCCGCGGGAGATTGTTCTTTTGTTTTCTTTTTATTTCTTTTTTTCTTTTTTTTTCCCCTCTCTTCCTAGTGGAACCAGTGGTTTTGAAGGAAAAGCAAGTTATGAAATGTACTTTGGTTTTGAATAGAAGGCAGACATACGTGGCTGTGATGCCCGATGCCCTGGGACAGCACTTCTTTCAGCATAGGCTTACGGCTGTGCTTCCTGGCTCTGTGTAATAGATTTTTCTAAAAATTATTAAAAGCCGTTGCCTTAACCTGAATGAGAGCCATCAGGCACCTCATGCTTTGACCTTTTGTGTATTCAGTTTTTTTACTTGTTTGTTTTTTTCCTGACCTGTAGCATTTTTTCAGTATTTTCAAACCTTTCAGTTATATCATTTTTTTTTTTTTTTTTTTTTTAATATGCTCTGTTTTCACTGATATGCATCTAAATATAGGGAGGAATTGGGTGAAAGTTAAAATTTCATGATGGTCATCCACGTAAAGAGCCTTAGTGTGTTTCTAAGAATCATATATAACCTACTAAATATCAATTTGAAGTGAGTTGAATATTCTTTAATTCATTCCATGCAAAAATAATTTAATAGATATCTCAAACAGTAAGAAATGCGTTGTTTGGGATGAAGGTTATGAAACATAGCCCTGTAGTAACATTTATTAAGATTGTTTCAAAGTTCAGAGATCAGTTTTAGAAATAAAACAAACATGGTTAAGTAGGACAATGGCACAATTTGCAGGCTTATGGAAGTACGTGGGTTTTGCTGTTCACAGCCTGTTCCTGGAGTACCACAAAGTACCTGTGTGAGTGTGTGAGGCAAACAGGGACAAGTGAAACCTGATGTGGTTTTCTTTGAGTTGCTGTTTCTAATAGTGTAATATTGTGGTTGGGAAGGTTCTCTCTGCTTCGTAACTTGCGCTGACGGCTGCGGCTTCTCTTCTGTCCTGGGTTAAAATGCAGTGTTCTTCCTTTTGCTCTGCATACCTCTTCCAGACGTTATTGTAGCAGTTCTTGCGAGAACACAAGCAACAAATTACTTGGTAGTGGTGTTAGTAAAGTAAATTATTTTTTCAGGGTTCTCATAGCAGCATGATCATGGCATGTATCACTTGCCTTCCAGGTTGGAAGCATGGTCTCCTGTAAGCCATGGAGTACCTCCCTGCCTCTGTTGGTTTCAGTGCCCTTATTCATCCCAGAGAACTGGGAGCAGGCACACGCAGGTATAGGCTAAGCTGTAATTTCACCCTTGTTTCTTTTGGCAGCTTACTTGGCTAACACAGCCCTTGTGTCACTGTTTCACTTGTGCTTGTTCAACTGTTTATATGGCTGCATGGAAACCTGAAGCAGGGAACTGCTGGCAGTTGTAACTTTCCTCTTGGCAGTCATGTTTCTAACAAGAAAGTGCTCATTGGTACACCCTGTTTTGTCCAGGTCAGTGGGAATGGCACAGGGCAGCACAACTGGGGGGATCAGAGGCAGGGACAGAGGATGGGTTGTGCAAAGCAGCACTGCAGCTGTGTAAGGCTGTCCAGAGTGTCTTCAGTAATAAAATGCCTTGTTCTGAAATAAAAATGTTGCTGAATTTAGTTATGTTGGTAGTGTAACCTAAGTTATGTTATCAGTGCCTCATGGAAAAGCCTCATTGTGAAACCATGGTGTTAACTTCATCCATTTGAAGCTTGAGATTGTTTTCTTGTGCAAGGTTAGCCATTCACTTGATTGTTCCTAAGATTATGAGCTGCACTTACGAGAGTCAGTCTGAACTTCTTTTATTATATGTGAACAGAATCAGAGAATTGATTGCTTGATTACTTTGGAATGGTTTTGTTTCTTTATGGTTGCTGTGGTAAGACGTAGTCTTAGGTGAAATATAAAGTTTATGGTTCAACCCTTTTTAATCTTGTGTGAAGTCGTAGGAATATTTTTTGTTTCCAAAGGAGTTGTATTCCTACATTGACTTGGCTTCACAAAGATATTAATGTGGAGTTTCCTTGGTGAGGCCAAGGTTAGCCAGGAGCATCGTTACAGCGTGTTCTTCTATAGGATGTAGAAGATCAGCACGGCTTGAAAAGCTGGGGAGAGTGAATAGGTGACGTTTGTTATTCTTAATACTTCATGGTCTAAAAGACTTCTTTTAAAATCCTTCTCTGTTTTTGTTATTATTATTTTTTTAAAGAAATCTTTCTTTTTTAAAGCAGAAACAGCTTTAAGAATGGTAGAAAACAATGCATGGCACTGTGATTCTAGAAGGCAGATGCATGAAATGAAAATAACTTGCTATTGTCTTGTCTTTAAAATGCTTTTCTTACCTTTTGGAAATTTTCCTGGATGTGAACTCACTGCCCTTCAGTAGCAAAAATGTTTCTAAATCATTTATTTGGGTATTTCAGAAAGAATTTGCTTCTTGCTGGAATTTTCCTTTGGTTCTAAAGTTGAAGATAAAACGTGGAAAACAAATGAGATAAAAAATTCATTTGTTAGTTCTTTCTGTGCTTCCCCTGCCCTCGGGGCAGGCAACTTAAAAAGCACAGTTTTAATGTC